CTCTTTAAGAGTTTATAACTTTAGAATAATTAATATCCTCAGAAAATACAAGAATGACAACACACTTTCACAAAAAAAACCAAAAACCAAAAACCAGACAGACCTTGGAAATTAAAATTGTGATCACAGAAATTAAAAATTCAACTAATGAGCTGAACGCTGAGTGGATACAGTTGAAGAGCAACTCACTGCGCTAGAAGATCCAGTTAAGTAATCCTTCCAGAATGTAGCACAACAGAGAAAAGCTAAGGGATATATAGAAAACAGAAAAAAGAGTTTAAAGATCTCCTGAATAAAGAAATTTTAGAATCGAGAAGGTGAACAAAGAAGAACAAAGAAAGAAAAAATGTCCAGAATTAAAGATAATGTCTCTGATAAAACAAGGTTAATAGAAAAAGTCCCACTCCTAAACATCCTGTGGTGAAATTTCAGAATGCCTAGGACAATGAAAAAAGCTAAAAAAAGAAAAAAAAACTAAAAATAATTAAAACAAGGTAGAAAGGGACTCTAATTAAAATCCCAAAATACCTCAGGGGTTTTTTTGTGTGTATTTTACTTTATTGTGCTTTGCAGATATTGCATTTTTATCAAAACCCCCACCAGCAAAAAGATTGACTTGCTGAAGGCTCAGATGATGCTTAGCATTTTTTAGCAATAAAGTATTTTTTTAATTAAGGCATGTATATATATTTTTAGACATAATGCTACTGCACACTTAGACTACAGTATTGTGTAAACATAATTTTTATATGCACTGGGAAACCAAAAAATTTGGGTGGCTCACTCTGTTGTGATACTGGCTTTATTGCAGTGGTCTAGAACCGAACCTGCAATATCCCCAAGGTATGCTTGTATAGTCAAGCCATCTGGATATATAATTCACTCAAATGGTCATAAGACGACAGATGAGAGCCTTCCTTTCCACCTGGCCTCTGAATCATTCCAGAAAACATCGATACTAACAGCTAGTCACCCAGGCCCTGGATCTCCACTGCTATTCATCTCCACACACTTCAGCAAACTAAGTAAACACAGTTGTTTAGATCACATCCTAGGCCTCAAGATCTGGAAATGTTCCACCGAATTCCTCTCTGACTACACACTCCAAGTCTATCACCCTTCCCATTATGTGGAGTTTCAACCTCCTTAAGACTTGCAATCCTTTAACACCCGCCCCCCCCCACCCCTACCATTCTTTCATGCTGTCAGGTCAACTCTGCCTATTCACCTTCCTTCTTCAATTGCCTGGATACCATGATAAATCTGTTAATATTTTGTTAGGATCCTCCATTAATTTTTCACATAACCTTGTGCCACATCTACCAATAAATCAGCAACTAGAGTCAATCTACTCCATCACAATTGACCTAAGTTCTTGGGCTACTGAGTCCACTTAGATTTGGCACAACCACGTCCGTTGGCTTCACTGCAAATATCTGATCTCTAGCTTCACCTGGGTCCTCGATGGCCTCAAAACTGTCTAGCAATTCTTTCATCATCTCTAGTCATTTCCTGTGTCCATTTTTCATAGATGTTGTTCAAATCTCCACATTCTTTCAACGTTCTCTAGTTGCCCCCAGTTCTTCTCCCTCACAATAAAAGATATAGTGTATGATCAGGCTTTCCTTAAACATATTTTGTAAGCTATTAGTATACAATGAAATATTTTAACTATCATGATAAAATAGGTTAGAAAAAGCATTTTTCAACACAAAACATCAGATACCACCTCCTTTGTCTCTAAGGTTAATTATTCCTTTCAACCGCACTTCATACTACCAGTTAGCCTCTGCCTGAAACTCCCTCCGGCCTTGGCTTCATCCACATCACACTTCTATTTTTCCTCCTACTTATGAACACACACCTTTATTTCCTTCACCAGTTTCTCTATCAACATGTCAGTGTGTCTCAGATCTCTTCTCATTATAACATGCTCCCTACGTGATCTCATCCACTCCCACAGTTTCACTGATTTCTGCCATATGCTGATGACTCCCTCATTTCTATCCAATAACCCTGACTCAAATATCCAACTCCTTATGACTCATCTTTACCAGATGTCCCTTCTGTATTTCACCCTCCACATACCAAACCAAACTAATTAACCTTACCCATTCACCCACTTCTCTGAATACTTCTTTTGGCTTATGGAAATATCATCTACCTACTTTCCAAAGAAAGAAAAAGTAAGTCACCCTTTACACTTCTTCCTTAACCTTCACACTCAAGTCACCAAGTTCTGATGATTTAATCCAAAATTTAACTCAATGTGTCTCTCGCTCTTTATTTCCAAAGTCACTACCCATCTCATCTCTCTCACCCTCCACCTTACCTTACATGTATCTACACTGGTGATTAGCAACCTGGCCCACACATTAGCATCACCTGGGGAACTTTTAAAAATCCTAACGCTTAGGGCACACTCCAGACCAATTATATCAAGAGTCTCTGGGGGTGTGGCCAGGCACCAGCATATTTTTCAAGGTCCCCATATGATTCCAATATGCAGCCAGATTTCAGAATCTTCCAGAACTGAAGACATGAGCCCACAGATTGAAAATGTATACCAAATGCCAAGCAAGATAAAATAAAAACAAATCTACAATGAAACGAGTAAAAATGAAACTGAATAACCTTGTGGATAAAAAGAAAATCATGTAAAAATTTCTGGAGAGAAGAGACAGATTGTCTACAAAGAAAAGAAAATGACACTATTAGCAGACTTGTTGTTAGATAGCAGGAAGACAATGACTTAAATATCTTAAAAGTGATGGGACTGGGGGAAAATTTGAACTTAGGGTTCTATAGCCTGCTGAATTGTTCTTCAAGAATGAAATAGAGATCAATAATATTGTGATAGCCTGGTACAGTGTCAGATGGTGGCTGGTTTATCATGGTGATCACTTCTTTAGCATACGGAATATAATCAATAATGCAGTAATAACTGTATAGTGCCAGGTGGGTACTGTTGAATAACTATGATGCACAAATTAATATAATATTGTATATTAGCTATATTTTAATAAAAATCTTTTAAAAAATGAAATAGATTTCTTCAGACACACAAAGCTAAGACGCTACTGTTCAGAGACCATCACCGAAAGAATTACCTAACAAAGACCATACTTCACTGAGCCAAGAAAATTAGAGAGGTATTTAAAAATGTTGACCAAGTCTGGATTCTACCATGAAAATATAAGAGGTATGACATGTATGCACCACTGAGGTTCCAGTGACCTTAAAGATGGTAACATAATTCAATGCAAACAAATACATTTTATAACAAAAGTACTGGGATTCTGGCTAGTTAATTTGCATTGTTTTCTTGTACTTTTGTTGAATTTAGTCTCAGTTTTCAACTCTTCAATTTCTATAACTTTAACAAAAGCAAGAAAGCACTGCCAACATAGGAATGTTAAAAGATGTTTACTACTTTCTTTCATTGAAAAAAAAAAAGAGGTAATATATTTATATACTTATCAAAATATCAAAACAATTTTATTTTTGCCATAAATATCTTTCCTTGTGCTCTAGATGATCTGAAAATAAATTAAGAACCCCAAAATTATATCATTCAATCCTTGTGATACTAAATTTCCTTTTATTTCTTAGTAAATGCAACCATGCGTGTTAACTTTATTAAATTAATCCTCAGTATCATAGTCTATGATTTAACATGAGAAAGAAAACGACTCTTAACCAAGATGATAATTATATATTTAATACATCTTGCTTTTAACAGCAATTCAAAGTAAACACATCATAGGCCTATAACTTATTGAAGATTTATAGTGCTTACAAAGTTTATTCTAAAAATATACCTTATTTGTTCTAAGTGAATAACATTATCTAGAAGATAAAATAATAAATTATAGTAGTATATTTACCACCACTATAGTTAAGATTGTGTACATATATTCAATATGAAGTCCTCTTAGGATTTTAACACTTTCAGCCTTAAAGTGTAAAAGCACACTAAAGTTTGGCATACAAGATCTCAGTCTTACAGCAATGGTTTAAAAACCAAAAATTAAAAAAAAAAAACCTAGTTGACATGTTAAGAGAGCATGGGCACTGCACATCCATGTACACACATACATATTCTTTCTCACTCATTCAACACACACCCACATGCGCGCGCACACACACACGCACCCCCCCAGAGTATGCAGAAGATTTCACCCTTGTGTATCAGACAGTTGCCATCGATTTCAAAAATAAAAATTGGGAAAAAAAGTTAACTAACATATATATTTAAGTCATATTTAAATGGCTCTGGTTTTTAGAAAGATATGCACAAAACTGTTATCTAGGTCTGTAACATGTACAATATGCCATCTCAATACATTCTTAAACAGGATTGAACTATTCACTAATGGGCATACGAATACATATGAAATTGTGTACCCATTCATTTCCCAGGTGACATTCCACGAACAATCAGTCATATGACCCAGCCCAGCTAAAGTGGTTTGCTTTATAGAACCAAAGAACAGAAACCAATAGAATGAGAAATTTCATTTTGATCTGTTTGGGGTTTTTCACATGTTCCATGTACAAAAGCAGCAGGATTCTGTATTGCAAATGACAGTTAATACCACCACTTAACACTTTGTGGCATGCAGAGGTCAATTTGTATTTCTAAAACATATATATATTCTAGTTAAAGTCCCCAGTGGTCCTTACTTTTAATTATATATACTCTTCCAGGTTTAGACTCAAAACAATTTAATGCCGATAACCTCTCCTGCTCATCAGTAATTACTCCTGCCAAGTAAAATCTGTCAAAACAGAAAATTATTCTTCTGATTCTCTTCAGTAATGCAGGTTTGAAAAATGTTCTATGGAAGTTCATTTTCATCATATATTAAAACATCCAAAGTTCTTTAAAACAACATTAAAATAGAAACTACACACTAGGGCACCCATAAGTCATATTGTTGTGATTAGAAACATAAAAAGGCACAATAGTAAGCGAAAGAGAAAATACCAGCTTTCCATTCATGTTTTTTGGGCCTTCCTCTTATTTTATTTCATGAAGTTTTTAAATTGTTCAAAGCATTCTTATACTCTGCATGACAGTAACAGAATATTTTGGCACATCAACATTGTGATACAATATATGGTATGTTTAAAAAATTAATTTAAAAATTTCATCTATTAATCAACATTTTTAATGCAGTGCATATATATTTTACACTTATTTAAGTCAAATACATAAAGGTTTGCAACTGATTTACAGACGAAGCAATCACAGATTGCAGTAATACAAATATACCAATCAGGAGAAAAACTGCAGCCTGGCAATTTTATAGTCCATAGTTTCGTTGGTATAGCTATCATTTACATGCCCTTTTCATCTTGTTTTTCTGTACAAAAAATATATTTTTGCCTTCTTCATTCCTGATGAGATTTTTCTGCGATAACTTTACACTCATACTGCAAAATGTAAAAGGTTAAATAAAAGGTTAACAGATTAAGGTTTAATTTGAATAGCAATTTCCCTATAAACTACAAAGTTCTAAAAATTAATACTTTATTAATCTATACCCACTTTATTCCTCAAAGAATCTGATACTGACCCAACTATTAGGATTCAATAATAGATGTGATTGGGAAAAGGAAAATTCACATTCTAGAAGTGAAAGAGGCATAGTCAAAAACAGGAGGAAGATGAGGTTTCTGCATTATAAGCAAATGATAACAGGATACGTTTCAGATCAGCCCAAGAATATGCAAGGAAGCAAAGTAGGTTTCTGAGTGCTCAGTCAGGTGAGTCATCAAGAATCATCAAAGGAAAGGTCATGAACTTAAGACCAGGACTGATAACAGTAAATTCAGAAGGAAAGGCTTCTAGTCAAAACAATATTTTTAAAGTATAACTATAAAAATGTACACTCACAATTCCAAATAAAGGAAACAAATGCACTTTTAGAATAATTGGGTGGCTAGATTATCAAAAACACAGCAACATGAAACCACTCTATTCTGCTGATTAAAATGGTAAAAGTGACAACACGTATTCATGAAACTGCTGTGGCCTCTGAATGTTAGTCCCCAATCCTAGTCATGTCTGACTGGGATCAGCAGCAATGTCCTTTCCTTCTCAACTAAAATGATCAAACATTTTGATTTGCTGGAGATAGTCCTAATTTGTATCTATCATAGCAACATCATTACTAATAGAGCCTCTTTTCACTTGTAAAATTGTTCCTTTTTGATGGATTAGAAACCTATAAATTAGTTTTTTAAAAAAGGGGAGCATAAATCATATCGCTTTATCCCTAACACATTTTAGCTTTTCTATCCAGTGGTTCCTTCAACTTTTAATACACTTGTGATTAAATCCTTCCAATGATTTATTTCAATGGAATTGCAAAGAGATTCAAAGGATGCTGTCTTCACAAATTGCTTTCCCTAAAGAAGAACTGCCATTTGGAGAAAACTTGTCTTACATCTCAATAACAGAAAAGTGATTACATAAGCATCAGCTTACCATCGCCAGTTGTCTGCCAATGTTTCCCATTGTTATGCCTCCAGCAAAAAATATACAAGGTAACCAAGAACGAACATAGAGAAAATCTGGAGATGTATATCTAGAATAATAGAAATGTTTTAACAACGCAGAGGAAAGATGATGACACTTATTAAGATAATTACAGCAGAAATCAGTTACTCTTCAGATTAAAGTGGCTAACCCAATTTAAAACTCTCAGTTCTGGATTCAGTTATCATTTATTTATTTTAGCAAACGAGCACCAAAAAGAATACTTACTGATAAACACCATTGTAGACTAGCAGTTGCGTGACCAAGGTTGCCAAGAAAGCAATTCCTACTCCAAGGCCAAAACCAGTTCTAGATCTATCAAAAGTCCACCACAATCCAATGGACAGTGCAGCCAGTGTCAGAGACAACTGTATGTTGTTATCAAAATCCACTTTCTGAGATCAGTGTTAAAGAGTCATCTTAAAACTTGTACCCAAATAATATCACCTGTGCATTTTTCTAAAATAAGAAATGTTACTGTCAAGAAAGGAGTTAATTGCTTATTCTGGAGTGCATTCAGTCTTTTAATACAATGTATGAGATTAGGTGGGATTAAAGTTGTCTCTTGTATTTACTAAAGACACACAGAGGGCATGATATTTCATTAATAGAGCCTACTAACCTTTAAGTCCTCAAATAAAAAAACACTCTATATACATTTCCAATTTTAAGATCAGACCCACTTTTTGAGAAATGCGTTCTTTGCTAAAAATGTAACTGGGAGCCTCGGAACACAAGTTTTACTACAGGAACACACTTTTGCTAAAAAGGAAGCCAATATTACTTCCCAAAAGGGTTGAGAATTACTTGAGAATCATACAGGAACTTGAAAATAGAAGAGTTGACAGCTATTTAACAGGGTATGACACTGTCTATGTGATTTACTGACAGACACATTTTATAATAATGCAGTTCAGAAACAAGAGTACCAAGGACACAGTATCCCTTTCTATTATGTCAACTGTTCCAGTTTTAATTTGTAGAGGATAAAGCCTTGAAGTGAACATTATCTTGCAACCTGCTAAGCTATTTTGGTGCCTGAGACATTCTGGTATAGGACAGTTTGTTCAAATGATATTTTATTTCCATCACCTACTTAAGCATCTATTCACAAATGTACAGCCCTTTTCTACTCCAAAATCTCTGGACAAAATGAAGCTTTACAAATTCAATTTTCTCATTTCTTTGCTAGAGGATTACACTAAAGGAATTAATTTCAAGTATCATTAAAAGGGCATTATCTATGTCCCAAAGGCCACATCTTGGCTCTGTATCCAGCTCCCCAGGGGAGCCTACATATCTCACCAAACTAACTGGCCATGCTGCGAGTACAGGGAAGAGAGCAGAAGTTCAAAAACTGCATATGAAACCATTTCCTACTTCCTTTCACACCCTGTTCACCACCTACCCGACCAGCTGGTATCCTGAACACCCAGTGTGCTTACTTCTCAGCTGTTAGGGGCCACTCCCTCAAGGTCATTCCCTGTTGAGTCTTGATTTAACAAGAAACTTGTAGTTTATGGTTATCTTTCTGGAAAAGAAAGCTTTTCTTATTTTTTAGCAGGCCTTATACCTAAAACTCCACAAAGAAAAGCTTGTGAGCTTTGATTTCTCTATGACATAAACATTCTTGTAAAGTGTGGAATTTATATAAACTGGGTTCTATCTTTGCTTACTGACTGAACTTCACTTTGAGTCAAAGCAAAATGAGGCGGCTTCTAGGGTTAACAGGTAAAAAACATCAATCTTAAAAATAGTACTGTGTGATTTTACGAAGTCTAAGTAACCTAATATTGAGTCTACGTTATAAATTTGTAAACATTTGGGGTTTTGCTTAAAGGATGGCCAGAACAGCTACGATTGCTATATTTAAGTATTTCATTGGGGAAGACAGAAAAGAACCAAAGCAAAAAATTTAAATTAGGTAAAGTTTTTTAAATTCCAGAAAAGGCTATCTGAATTTCTCAACTTAAATATAGCTGAAATGTCTGCGATAAAAAGGTCTATTCCACCAGATAGGGAGAATTTACATACGGGTGGGGCTCCTGGGTGGAAGACGGGTGTCAGATCTCTGGGGTCTGGTCTCAGCTCTGGCACATCCTCACAGTATGAGTGACTTAGCAAAGTACCTCACCTCCCTAGCATTCATTTGTCTTATTATCTTTATAAAGCAAATATGGAACTAAGTGATTTCTAAGTTTTCTACTAGATATAATTTTCTATGAGTCTATCTTTTTAAGCCCTCCTAACGACTAGATTTGTTTAATTGACAAATATCAAAGATTTCCCCAAATTAAACATGTGGGTAAATGCTTTAATACAAAAGGAAATGGAAAACCAAAATAATAACAGCCACTGGGGGATTTCCAATCCAAGGGCCAGCACAACTGGGAACAAAAAGGCAGATATGTTTTCAGCATCTAGGACCCTGCCTCTTTCCAAGGTTCTTCTTTCCAAATTTCTCCGAAACACCTTGATACTGTCCGTAAAAGACACAGCAATCAGGGGCAGCCAGTTAGCTCAGGTGGTTAGAGTGCAGGCTCATAACACCAAGGTTGACAGTTCGATTCCCACATGAGCTACACAGCTGAGCCCTCCAAAACTAGACTGAAGCCAGCTACTTGACTTGGAGGTGATGCGCCCTGGAAAAATACACTGTTCCCCAATAAAATTTTTAAAAAATGTATATTAAAAAAAGGACAAAAAAAAAAAAGACACAGCAATCTCCCTTCCTCATGGCCCAACCCCTCTCCAGCTAACTGGCAGCCCTGAGCCCAGTGCAGTTACAGGGAAGCCTGGGGCAGCCCGAGTCACACCTCCTGCTCTTCCCACCACCAAAGGCTCCCAGCACGTCCATTTTCTAAGCCACATCTTCTAGAAAAGGGGAGACTGAACTAGCATTTGCCAGATCCTCCTCTACAAAGGGAAGTTGGGGGTGGGGGGAAGAGAATGGGAGGACGACAGGATGAAATCCTTATGAGGGCAAAATCTTTTGTTCTGGAAGTAGACATTTTTTTCCTGGGGGGGTGTAAGGCAGAGGAGAGAAGGGAAATGCCCTTCTAGCTAGGACACTATAAAAATACTCAATCACTAAATAAAATGTCAGACTCTTTAAACGATTAAAGTTTAAAAACATGTACCTTAGGGAAAAAGTTCCTTCTGGCCAAGGTTTAAGTTGGCTATTTCTATGTATGCCACCTTTACAAAAATGGATGTGGTTTGCTGGTGTTGATTAAAACCAATAAAGGACAGTCTGCCTTTAAAAAACAATAATTATAGGTTTTTTAAATTAAAAACAAAACAAAAAACAACCAGTCTCTGAAGCCACCACGTGTCCTTATTGGCAAATCTTAAATGAAGGAATAGAGGAAAGACATCCTTTGAAAATGTACCTGTTTCAATGCTAAAGTTACCAAAACTATAGGTAAGTAATTTAGTAACTTAAGAAAAACATGGAAATTTTTTAAACATGCTAAGTCTCTAAATTATATGGAAAAATGGGGACTTAAATGAAGGGCTGAACCCCACACTGATGCAGCCATCACAGCCACTACTGCATTGTTTCAACGATAGGACGCGCATTCCTTTTATGACAAAGTGGGCATATCACAGTTTGCGACAGTGAAGCTGCAAGGGACTGGTTCACCTTTGGTTGTTATTACAAATTTCATTACAGCAAAAAGGATACAGCGCTGGCATGGTTTATACCGACAAAGACGGCCACACACCGCATTACACTTGACCACTCTCTCTTAAATTCATGTGGTTCTCCTAGATGCCTGTCAATGCAGGGGTATAACAACCCAATCACAGCTGTGGAAAAAGAGAGAAAAAAATTAAGTCATCTCCAACGCTATCCTGGCTAAACTTAAGCTAAGAGTCACCAGAATCCTCATAAGCACTGGAAACATTATTTTGAAAAGCTCTTCAAGTTACTTAAAGTTAATTGCTGATATTTTAAACTTACCTCCCAAGAGGGAAAAGAAAAAAAAAGATAAGAAGAACACCACTGAAGAAAGTGTTGTATAATAAACGATTCCAACAGTATTCTAAAGTGTAACAGGCAAAACACCATTTCAGCATATGATTCAGAATTTAGCAGATTGGCCTGGATGCTTCATGCTACGTTGCTACAATTATCTCTGAGAGTTATTAAGAAGCATCAAACCGGTTGGCAGTTAAGCAATGCTCTCTCTAAGCTATATAACAACCATGGAACATGGCATTAAATGCCACCAATCTAAAGAAAAGCTAGAGGCTAAACACAGTCCAATAAGCTCATCACACACACAATGTTCAGATGGCGATGGCTGTCCTGTCGTACAGGTCATCCTTGCCCCTTCGGCTTCCTGTCTCGGTCTCCTGCATCTAGCACCTTGATCTGACATTGCCTTCCACCCTGGCCCTCTGGTGAGACTCTAGGTCATATTGTCAGAGCTGGAAATGCTCAACAGAAATCTACACATAAGACTCATTCTGCACATAGAAAAAAAATGGAGGAAACATGGTCTATAAGAATTATAAATCAGCAAAAACTTAAATTCACTGTTAAAAGACTAAGACGTCATTTTAGTACATTTCTTACTTTTGCAAAGAACATCTTGACTGCCAAATGTGTAACTAATTATGAATAGCTATACACAAAATGTCTATGACTGAGACTCAAAACATTCTCACTCAATTTTTAACTTAAATTCTTGACGAACCTTAACTTTTTGTTGATTTAGTTGGAGACGATTTTAAGCACTAAGTTAGTCATTAAAAATAAAGGGCAATGAACCAAAACTTCCTGCAACAAGTTATAAGGAAAAAGTACTTCCACAGATTAAATTGAACAGCAAATAGCTAGGCAGCTTTGATTTGCCAATCTTCCTAAAAACAGAATGGTTATGCTGCCATTCGGTAATAAAGACCACTGTCACATCAGTTGATAAGCATGTTTAAAATGTCTAATACTATCCATGACATAGCATGGAACGACCATGCCAAGGTCTAAGTACCTGAGGGTCAGCAGCCTCTGCCTGGCCTGGTGTTGGCTAGCTATACCTCACAAACAATGCATTCAATCTCCAAAATGGAAGTCCATTAATATCAAATACCACAGGCTAGCAGACCAATGGAGCAGCACGAAGAAGAGGCTGCAAGACCACCCTTCCATCTGGAGGTGAGATGCTACAATGATATGTACGTTTTCTCATCCACAAAACACTTGCAGTTGCTCTTTAAGAGTTAGGCTTTTGCTGAATATAGACAATTCATGGCCCATCAAGAGATTAACAACCACCGGTTATGCAGAGCTCCAAAAATTTACAAGTTATACTATGTTTTCATTACAACATTGTAGGAAATTAACTCTTGTTTATATCAATTAGCCGATGGTAAAATTAGTTTTGCTATACATGGTTTCATGGAAAGCTGCAGAACCTATCTGGGCTTTTAAGTGAGGACTTACTGTAAATTCCTATTTAAAAGGCTGCTCTAAAATCCTGTGAGATTAACTGACAGCATTTCCAAATTTCAACAAAATTAAAGTATAATAGCAACAAGCATGCCTGAGAGTTGAAATACATCTAAATAAATAGCACACCTCCTCTTTTTCCTAACGGGGTCATGATACTAACAGCCCATATGTCATCCCGCACTCACTCTCGCTCTCTCTCCCCTCCCTTTGCCTGTTGCAGAGTAAAATCAACTAAGATCAGGCATTCCAAGTCAATTTTTCTCAGCAGCTGATGCCATAGGTAAAGTATTATCACATAGAGAGAGTGCTGACATGTGTGTGCGAGGACATAAATAAGTAAAATTGACTATATTTTTATGCATGTGATGTCAGACTTGCAAGTGAGAGACAACTGTGGAGAGAAAGCAAAAACACAAAAGGAATTTAACTGCCATGCTGCCAACCTTGGGATTTGCCAATAAAAATCAAATCCATTGAGTATGCATGGTTCTGGTTGCTCACTGAGAGGGGAGAATTCGAGGAAGCTTGTCACTTCCCATTAAATGTCTTCTTTCTTCCCTTTAAATAAAGGCATGGCAGACTCTGATAGCAATATCTACAGCACAGTGAGGCTCTACTGTTTAAGAGCTCGGCAGAGGTATGTCTGGGCTTCTTCTACCCTTTCTGTTAAAATCATGCCTGCGTAAAATCATATGCAAACACAGTCCTGGTTAATCAGATGGTTCTCTGATGCAAAACTCACATTTGTTAGGATACAGGCAGACCTCATTTGATTGTGCTTCGCTTTATTGCGCTTTGCAGACATTGCGTTTTCTACAAATTGAAGGTTAAGACCCTCCACCAGCAAAAATATTACGGCTAGCTGAAGGTTCAGATGATGGTTAGTACTTTTTAATTAAGGTATGTACATTGTTGTTTTAGACATAATGCTACTGCACACTTAACAGACGACAGTATAGTGTAAACATAATTTTTATATGCACTAGGAAACCAAAAAATTCATGTAACTCGCTTTATTGCAATATTTGCTTCATTGTGGTGGTCTAGAATAAAATTTGCTATATCTCCAAGGTACGTCTATATATTTAAGTTACTGCCCAGTGACTAGTTGCAGCCTACCAAGGCTAAAAACAAAAAAAAGTTTACAAAACATCAATATTGTCATCACTTTTTCATCATAACGTGTTTAATGCAGTGATATACTAAAAGGAACAGTTAAACATTTTGCCAAGAAAAGGGGCTGAAAAAAACAAAACCACAACGAGATATACTTTTGTGGAAAACTATTTATAGGATAGGCAACGTTTTAATTCAACAAATACTTAAGCTCCCACAATGTCTCTGGTTCTTGGTATTTGCTGGGGATTTAAAAAGAAAAAAGAGTAAGACATGATCCCATTCCCAAAGTGACCACAGAAAGTTACATACAGTCATGTGTTTGGGGTAGTACTGACAGGGCCCAGTGGAGGCCCAACCTTCCCCCAGCACGTGCTGAGGCAAGGTGGGGTACGGGGGTGTCAGGGAACTTTCACAGAAGAGGTGATCCTTGAGGCAGGAGAATTCAGCAGTTGAGTGGTGTGGAAAAGGCTTTCTAATCACAGCAAAGCATTTGAGGAAAAGCATAGGGAACAGAAAATGCCTGGGGTCACCTGCAAATTGTAAGCATTAGGCAGAAAGGGAGCTCAGGGTTCAGAAAGACTCCAAAGAAGATAAAAGCAGTCAAGGGTCACACCATAGAGACTTTACCCTGCAGCAACTGGGGAGCCAGGAAAATAATGCATCACACTTGTAGCAGATAGAGAGGCAATCACTGTTCCAGCAGTGAGTATACAGTACAAGACAGGGGAGGGGAGCCTGGAGGCTGGTGCAAATTAGGGACAGAAAAGAGAAAAGACTGAAAATTCCAAGCAGAGTTGTTGAGGACCTGGACCAAGAAAGAGAGAGAGAAAAGATGTAAAACTTGGAAACTGAATGTGGGAGGTAAGAGAGAGAGGCAGGAGTCTCAAAGGGCTCTCCAGGAATTGGGTAAATGACTGCATGGCTAAACAATAAAGATTTGTTTTTTCTTTTTAAATTAGACATTAGTTTCATAGGTATGAACACACTCGGGTAACCCATGATTTTTGAGTCAACTTCTCGTTATTTTATCCACACAATGACAGTTGTCATTTTTTTCTCCTATTTATTCTTCAGAAAGATTCCTCTGTGGCCCTCAACAATATTCAAGAGGTTTCTAACTCCAATTCTAATGTACTGCACATAAAGAACTTAATCAAGCACACACAAAGGGCGGTCTCAGCAGGCACCAGGGCTAACTGGGGCAAATCTCACTCCATGAGGTAAGCCCCCCACACAGCAGCCCGTAAGATGTGGACATGGCCATACCCACAGCCATTCAGACTGAGGCTCAGTCCCATACACTGACGGGCTAACAGCAATCAGAGCTCAACTATAATAGGAAAGCACACACAACCCACACAAGGGACACTCCTGGAGCACCTGGAACAGGTGACCAGGGAGACTGTGCCACTAGGCCCCACAGGACCCCTACTACAAAAGACCACTCGACCAAGACTGGGAGACATAGCAGATCTGCCTACTACATATAAATGAACATAGGGAGGGAGCCAAAATGAGGAGACAGAAATATGTCCCATATGAAAGAATAGGAAAAAACTCCACAAAAATAACTAAATGAAATGGAAACAAGCAATCAAGCAGATACAGAGTTCAAAATAATGGTTATCAGGATGCTCAAGGAACTTAGTGAAAACTTCAACAAAGAGATAGCAAGCCTAAAAAAGGACACAGAAGCCATAAAAGAAAGCCAGTCAGAAGCGAAGAATACAGTAACAGAAATGAAGAATACACTAGAAGGAGTCACCAGCAGACTAGACAAAGCAGAGTATCAAATCAGCAATTTGAAAGACAAGGTAGCAGGAAACACCCAATCGGAATAGCAAAAAGAAAAAAGAATCCAAAAAAATGAGGATAATTTAAGAGACCTCTGGACAACATCAAGCATCATAGGGGTACCAGAAGGAGAAGAGAGAGAGCAAGGGATTATTTGAAGAAATAATGACCCCAAGTGGTTCAGTTGGTTAAGAGCTTGCTCAAGAGTGCAAGTTCTGAGCAAAAGCGGTTCGATGCCCGGCCCAAGCTAAGCTGCCGCTGAGCTGCCAACAGGTGGCAGGATGGCTCAACTTAAAGAAAAAAGAAAAAAAAAAGAAATAATGACTGAAAACTTTCCTAACCTGGTAAAGGAAATAGATATACAAGCCCAGGAAGCACAAAGTCCCAAACAAGATGAACTCAAACAGGCCACAAGAAACATTATAATTAAAATGACAAA